TATATACATATATATATATATATATATATATATATATATATATATATATATATATATATATATATATATATATATATGCATATATGTACATATATATACATACATATACACATACATACAGGGCCGGATTATTCACACACACACACACACACACACACACACACACACACACACACACACACACACACACACACACACACATATATATATATATATATATATATATATATATATATATATATATATATATATATATATATATATGTATATATATATATATATATATATATATATATATATATATATATATATATATATATGCATATATATATATATATATATATATATATATATATATATATATATATATATATATATATATATGCGTGTATATACATATATATACATACATATACACATACATACAAGGTCGGATTATTCTATAGGCTAGTATAGGCTGCAGCCTAGGGCCCCTCAAGCTTGGGGACCCCAAGCTCGAGGGGCTTGGTTATAAAAAAAAAAAAAAAATCACTACGGTTGTGTTGAAATATAGTAAAAAAAAGTGGTATTTTTTATTGACAAACAAAAGATAGCTATGCTACTTTATTTAAAGAATTTGCAATAAGTTTACTTCAAGCTATGTAAATGTCGCTAAAATATATCACGAGTAAAAAATATTCTGAGGGGCCCCATAATTTCATTAGCCTAGGGGCCCCAAAAGGTCATAATCCGGCCCTGCATACATATATGTACATATATATATATATACCGATACATATATATATAACTATATACACACACACACACACACACACACATATATATATATTTATATATATATATATATATATATATATATATATATATATATATATATATATATATATATATATATGTATATATACACACACACATATATATGCACATATATATGCATATATACACACATTTATGTACATACATGTGTATATATAAACATATCACCAGAAAACAATAATGGAAGCCGCACAGAAATGTTCTGACCCGAACGTAGAGGCGAGGCATCCCATAAGGAGAAGTCCGATATGCGAAGCTGAACCTCGCCTTCTATTGACAGCAATTAATTTTCTTCTTCTTCTGTCTGTCTGTCTGTCTCTCTCTCTCTCTCTCTCTCTCTCTCTCTCTCTCTCTCTCTCTCTCTCTCTCTCTCTCTCTCTCTCTCTCTCTCTCTCTCTCTCTCTCTCTCACTCTCTTCTTTTTTGTAGATCGATTCTAAAGTGCCGCAGGTTTCTTTTTTTTAAGATGTTGATATCATTACGCGAATTATCAGCGAAAATTCACCCCTATGATGTAGATAACTGAATGGAACCGCTGAAATCGACGCATAATTTAAAGCTACCTTGCGTGATAACCGTAGTGGGCGGGCTTGATGCAGATAACGTTAGCGCTGATATCGGTTGTTGACCATAGATATTTTATATGGCATATATGTTTTGTGTTGTTGTTGTTATTTTTGCCGTTATGTGTAATGTATCATCATGTGATACTTGTAAGTCAAGTGCCTCTCAATGATTCATAACTTATACTGTATGGGTTTTTAGGGTACGCATTATCTAGGCCTGGACAATATCAGCTGATTAGATAAAAAAAAAATCTCGTGATCATTAACTGTCCATCAAATATTGCACTAATGTTTCATTCGAGATAGATTTATAGATAGATAGATGGATATAGAGGCAGAGAGACAGGCAGACTCATAGGTAGATAGATAGATAGAGAGGGAGACGAGACAGGCTAACTAATCCAAGGTCTATATAATATCTCTATCTCTATCTATCTATATCTATCTATATCTATCTATATCTATATCTATCTATATATCTATATCTATCTATCTATATAAAAACAAAATATATATATACATACATATATACATATATATATATATATATATATATATATATATATATATATATATATATGACTGCCGCGATGGTCCACTGCTTAGAACGCTAGCCTCCGAACCTAGTGGTCCCAAGTTCAATTCCCCGTCGCTGCGTTCGTAAAAATGCCTGCGCTCTGACTGCTGGCTCGAGCCCGAGAAAACGACATATCGCCTTGAGAAGTCAAACCAGGTGTCGTAGGGGCAGTCACCGCCGTGGCACAGATGTTAGCGCGCCAAACTGCGGCTGATCAGGGAGGGCATCCAGTCAGGCAAAGGTGACACTGTTAATTGAGAGAGGGTTATGTCCTGCGGCGGAATAAATGGCTGTTAACAAAAAAAAATATATACACACACATATATATATACATATATATATATATATATATATATATATATATATATATATATATATATATATATATGTACTTTATATAAAAAGTGATACATGGGAAATACTAATTTTGTCATTCTCTTTGAAATAAAGTGCGTTCTTATCAAAAAGATGTAATAACACGATCCCCAAGTGTAGATAGCAGAATGAATCCTTTAACATTGGATTTCAGTATATTAAGATGTTTTCTTTCCATGGAAATCATTGCTCTTCTCTATAAACTTTTCATGTTTGTCAGTCAAAAATGATAACGGGGAAGTATGGCGGCTTGAAAATTAAAATAATTTCATATTGGCAATCCTTCATAATAAAATCCCAATGAAACTTTTCATAAATTTACAGTAAAATGTGAGCAAGGGATTTAATTCTTGGAGTTCATGCTTATATCCGTTGTTAATGATTTAGATTTTATCGCAAAATAATTCGGATTTGATGATCGGATGAATATATGTTTTCGACATGCGCATCGGTGATTATTTATAAACACGTAATATGTACGTCGAGCTGTTATCATAACTCAGCATATTACTCAGTGGCATGTTTCAGATAGATATAGATATCGATGCAATGCCATTGAGATGATGAACGCCGGATCATATCACAAATATTATTAATTCAGTACCACGATCCTCATGATATCAATTCCACATTTAGGAGTTGCAATATAAATAGCCAACGAATACGTGCGATGTTCCTTCAGTATACCAATACATTTCGCAGATAAAAGGTTTTACCCACAGCTAACGTTTCCTACTCCGCTCTAACTCCGCCGGTCTCCACTCTATTTAAGGTACAACAACTCACGCCTTTGTTCTCGAGGAAGGGACTGCGAACGACGCCAAAAAAGTGTATATCCAATAATCTGGTCAGTAGTATTTATGTCAACTGTTGTCTATTGCGATCGCCACAGCACAAATCCCCACTTTCTACGGTTAGTATCCGTCCCAGAACAGAAATAGACAGAGATATAGACGGTAGATCCTTTTTTCGAGGTATCGGTGAGAACACAGTAGTACGTCTTTGCAGCGAAAATGCTCAGGGCTCGCCGAAGTGCGATAGATAATTTGGTTATATTCGTAAGGAAATGTTAGAGGTAGTTAGATGGAGGAAAGTATTAGTCTTTCACCACGGAAATTACTTTCTATAGTTTGTATATTCTCGTCTGTTCACGTGCATCTCCTAGTTGTCAAGCAACAAAAAATGTAAAAATTGTAGTTATGTAGTATTCAGTATATGGTCGTTTTTATTATATATATATATATATATATATATATATATATATATATATATATATATATATATATATATATATATATATACACACACACACACACATGTATATATATATACACACATGTATATATATATATATGTGGGTATATATATCTATATATTCATATATCTATATATATCAGTCTATATACCTATCTATTTATTTGTTTATTTACTTATTTATATATACACACATACGCATTTTGTTTTTTTTCTGCACAGTTAACACACCCGCCATCCATAAGACAATACCAGTTTATACAAAATAAATAAATCATCATGCCGCCTCATTTGATACATCTTTCAACCGCACAGAAGCAAAACATGGCAGCAGCAATACAGTCCAAGGTTGTGTAAGGAATAACTACCAGCAATCCATCATAGCTGATTAATTATTGCAAGCAGATGTGTTGACTTGAGTCATCTTTCGCAGCTTCGGTGAGACAAGGACGTATCTTCATCTCCTTGAGCTGTATGCATTGCGAGAGGATTTTGTAACGCAATATTTCCCCACTCCAGCCACCCTGCCGAAACACATGCGTTAGAAAAGGAAGGAAGTATCTTCTGCCATAAAATAAAGCTCTTGTCTTAATATCATATAACACCATCCGCGCGGTGAAATAGTACTCCGTGAGAAAGGGTTGGAAAGAGAGCGAGTAATAGAGAGAAAGGTAGATAAAGAGATGGAGAGAGGGAGAGAGAGAGAGAGAGAGAGAGAGAGAGAGAGAGAGAGAGAGAGAGAGAGAGAGAGAGAGAGAGAGAGAGAGAGAGAGAGAGAGAGAGAGAGAGAGAGAGAGAGAGAGAGAGAGAGAGAGAGAGAGAGAGAGAGAGAGAGAGAAAGAGAGAGAGATGGGTGGAGATACACAGATAAACAGATTGAAAGAGGGGAAAGAGTGAAATAAACAGCTAAATAGATAGATAGAAAGGGCGACAGATAATAAGAAAGATAGATAGAGATATATAGATAGATAGATAGATGGATAGAGATAGATGGATAGATAGACAGATAGATAGACAGATAGATAGATAGACAGATAGATAGACAGACAGATAGATAGATAGATAGATAGATAGAGAGAGATATAGAGAGTCAGAGAGAGATTGGGAGAGGGTGAGAGAGAGAGAGAGAGAAAGGGAGAGAGAGAGGGAGAGAGAGAGGGAGAGAGAGAGGGAGAGAGAGAGAGAGAGAGAGAGAGAGAGAGAGAGAGAGAACAGACAAGAAAAATAAAAAATAAAAGAGAAAGAAATCAAAAGAAAGAGCGAGAAATCGAAAAAGAAACATAATCCTCACAGTACTCCCCCTTCTCCCGCTCACCCTCCCGTCCTTCCCACCCGCCTCCCCTCCCCCCATCCCATACGGGCGGCAGCGGAGGCGAGGCGATTCCAAACGCTGCGGCTCCGGTCCCTCGGCGGCGCAGCGGCTGAGTCCCGCCTGTCAGTCCGTCGCCATTTGCTGTTTGTTTACACTTGTGTCCTCGAGCCTCTGAGAGCCTCCCACGCCCTTTTTTGAATGAAACTGTATGAATTGAGGGGCTAGGGATCCTTTCGGTAAGATGAGAGGCTGTTAATGTCTCCCTTTCGAGGTTGGTGGGGGTTGTCAGTGTGGAAAATGAGCGAGACAGGGCGAAATAAAGGGTGAATGTCATGATGCCGTTACTTGAACTCTTGTTTCTTCCGTGATAAAAGTTTGGGTCACTGGAGGGTTTTTTAATTTTTTCTCTTTATTCCGTTGCTCTGTTGGGTTGGCTGTGGGGGATGATTTTTTTTTTTTAAGCGTGATTTAGGTGGAAAAGATATGTGAAGATGGTGTGAACTGTGAGATAGGTGGAGTTGAAATACGAGAGACATGAGTGGGGTGTTAGGGAAAGACACTGATAGGAAACGTTTCTGTATTTTATTTTTTTATTAAAAGATTTTGGAATTTTATAAGTGATTGGAAAATGTGTCAGAATTGCTTTCGAATTGCTTGCGTTGTGAGTAGTGGTGTTGATACGATCTGTGTAATGATTCTATGGTGACAGTTGCAAGGAAAAGCAATAATTTTTCTGCCAATATACAACACATAATGAAAAAACTAATGTGTATAGAAGTTAAAAATACAGTATTTTTTTTTATGAGGAAAGACATGGAAAAGTGGTGTGAAGAAAGTGAAAATTCCATCCAATGTGTTACTGTATTTTTAACTCTTCAGTTATATCTTGAAAGCAATCAGAAAATGCAATATGAACTGTATCCAGAAAATACTACTTTTATCTGAACTAAAGGTGGTAGTGATTGCAAAAGTTTGTATTTCAGGGGATTGAAATACGAGATACGAAAGTGATGGAATCGGAAAAAATGTTGGTGACTATATTTTTGTGTTTGAACTCTGATTTCCCCTTTTAATAGACAGGACCAATAATTTCATGAGGGACGTGAAGGATTAATGTTACGGTGAATGTTGCGGTGAACTGTATTTGGGTTCTCAGTTAAGAGTTTCATTGACTTGGGGTCAAGATTGGGCATTATGGTAATCTAGTAAATCTTGTGATTAATCCAGTGGAGAATGAATACAACTAGAATAGGCTCCCAAAAACACATATGTCAATTGTGATTTAGATACGCTCATCTTCTAAGTCTCATTTTGAGAAAAATAAATGCTTATAACCTCAAATAACAAATAGATTGTCCCTGGCAACCCCAGTGCATGATAACGAAAAGGCTATAGACCAAAAACTTGAAAAGAGACTAATTCAGTTTGTGCCTTATAATATTGATATAAATGCCGTCAGTTGAGAGGTATATTTTTGAGAATGAAAGTATGTGGTAAGAGATTAATTAGGGTCATGTGTTTTTTGTATACCATACTTTTCTTTTGTTTATTTTTTTTTTTCCTCATTCACTCATTGAGGGAAAAAAAATGAATAAACAAAAGAAAAGTGTGGCAGACAAAAACCATGACCCTAAGGGAAAATCTCACTCCCACTATTATTATAGAAGATTGCGTTCTTTATCAAGTATCTTGGAAAGATGAAGTGAAATATTCATAGAGTAGGCCTACTGATAATTAAGGTGAATGATATCACAGTGTGTTGAAAGAGTTAATTTACAGACTTACTGGTTTATAAATGATTGACATGACTGATATGAATGCCTCTTAGTTCAATAAAAATGTGGGTCAAACATGAGGTCATTCATGTTGACAGTATTTCTCACATATATATAGAAAAGAGTTTTTCAAATGAGAAAACATTGGTTTGATATCAATAATATTTTAATTCACATTTCAAATAACTCTACTTACATCTCAGATTTAGTGGCAGGTAGGGTTACATGTTCTGTAGACAATACCTCAGTAATTTTATTCTAAGATTACATGTGCAGGCTGTATTAAGTGAAGCTGCAGGGATTAAACTGAAATAGTATTGTTCAAAATTTTGTATGCCTTCTAAAGCAGTACAGTTTTTTAACAAGTTATAGCACAACTCACCACATTAGGTATTCCATACACACAAATATATCACAGTTTGAAGAACTGGTACAAAAAAGTTCTGTCTGTCTGTCTCTGTCTGCCTCTGTCTGTCTCTGTCTGTCTCTGTCTGTCTCTGTCTGTCTCTGTCTGTCTCTGTCTCTGTCTCTGTCTCTGTCTCTGTCTGTCTGTCTCTCTCTCTCTCTCTCTCTCTCTCTCTCTCTCTCTCTCTCTCTCTCTCTCTCTCTCTCTCTCTCTCTCTCTCTCTCTCTCTCTCTCTCTCTCTCTCTTCTCTTCTCTCTCTCTCTCTCTCTCTCTCTCTCTCTCTCTCTCTCTCTCCCTCTCTCCTCTCTCCTCTCTCTCCCTCTCTCCCTCCCTCTCTCCCTCCCTCCCTCCCTCCCTCCCTCCCTCCCTCCCTCCCTCCCTCCCTCCCTCCCTCCCTCCCTCCCTCCCTCCCTCCCTCCCTCCCTCCCTCCCTCCCTCCCTCCCTCCCTCCCTCTCTCCCTCTCTCCCTCTCTCCCTCTCTCCCTCTCTCCGTCTCTCCCTCTCTCCCTCCCTCCCTCCCCTCTCTTTCCCTCTCTCCCTTTCAGATAGTGAAATGGAAGTAATTTACTGTTAGTAGCTACCATTAAATCATAAACACACATGATAAGATCAATTACTCTTTTAGTGGTGGCTGTTACATTTGCCAAGGTTAATTAACAAGTGATCTATTGGTTGGTAGCATTAACATGCTTGCTGAAATATAGATTATCATTGACCTAATTCTATTTTTAATGAAATTCTTTATAAGAAGGATATGAGTTTGAGGGTATGAGAAGACTGTAATACATAGTTATCTTATACCAGCTTTATCCTTTACTGGATATGAGTTGAATGCTACTGTAATATAGAGGAATTACAGGGCTACACTTAGGTACTGACATTAATGTGTGGGAGATAAACTCTTTGAGTTATGTTGATGACTAATAGGTGGATGAGTCATGAGGTTTGAAATGCAATCATTTGATAGTATTTTCTTGATTTTGTGAGTAATGTTTAGGAATCAGTGGGGCTTCTATTTTTTTAAAGTGGCTTTTGATAAGAGATATGTTGCTTATCATAACCTGGAGAGTTTGAAGAAGTGTAGATATCCATTTCATATTTTTTATTTTCCATGTTTTTTCTTTGTTTTTTCTTTAAAAGCCATTCCATTTTTTGATTTGTTAGATGCTAAAACTTATTATCATTATCATTGTGATTATTTTCATCATTATCATTATTATCATTTTTTATTATTGTTGTCAATAATCATCACTGTTGTCGTATTTATTATTATTGTTATTGTTATCATTTTTAAGACTATTATTATTGATGTTGTTATTGTTATTGTTTTTATTATTGTTATTATTATCATTTTTAAGATTACTATTACCATTACTATGACTGTTACTGTGACTACTACTATTACTACTACTACTATTACTACTACTACTATTACTACTACTACTATTACTACTACTACTATTACTACTACTACTATTACTACTACTACTATTACTACTACTACTATTACTACTACTACTATTACTACTACTACTATTACTACTACTACTATTACTACTACTACTATTACTACTACTACTATTACTACTACTACTACTATTACTACTACTACTATTACTACTACTACTATTACTACTACTACTATTACTACTACTACTATTACTACTACTACTATTACTACTACTACTACTACTACTACTACTACTACTACTACTACTACTACTACTACTACTACTACTACTACTACTACTACTACTACTACTATTACTACTACTACTATTACTACTACTACTATTACTACTACTACTATTACTACTACTACTATTACTACTACTACTATTACTACTACTACTACTACTACTACTACTACGACTCCTGCTACTCCTCCTCCTCCTCCTCCTCCTCCTCCTACTACTACTACTACTACTACTACTACTACTACTACTACTGTACTACTATTATTACTATTATTACTATTACTATTACTACTATTACCACTATTACTAATATTACCACTATTACTACTATTAATACTACTACTATTACTACTACTATTACTACTACTATTACTATTATTACTACTGTTACTACTGTTACTACTACTGTTACTACTACTGTTACTACTATTACTACTATTACTACTATTACTACTATTACTACTACTATTACTACTACTATTACTACTACTATTACTACTACTATTACTACTACTATTACTACTACTATTACTACCACTATTACTACCACTATTACTACTACTACTACTACTACTACTACTACTACTACTACTACTACTACTACTACTACTACTACTACTACTACTACCATCACCATCACTACCACTACCACTACTATTTTTATTATTATTATTATTATTATTATTATTATTATTATTATTATTATTATTATTATTATTATTATTATTATTATTATTATTATTATTATTATTATTATTATTATTATTACTATTATTATAATTATATCATTATTATTGTTATTTTGGTTTTATTATTGCTGTTATTGTTTTATAGTTATTATAGTTATTATTTTTATTTTTAATTGTTGTTGTTTTGTTATTATTGTCATCATTGTTATTATTATTTTATGATTTGATTTTTTAATTATAATTATTATTATCATTATCACTATTGTTTTATTATGATTATTATTATTATGATTATTATTACTGTTATGGTTATTTTTATGTTGTTATTCTGATGATGATGATGATTAGCTTTACCTTTTATAAGAATATCATCTTTCATAATCACTGTTGTTGTTAGTATTATCGTTATTATTATTATTATTATTATTATTATTATTAATATTACTGTTGTTATTATGGCATTAGAGTTGATGTTGGACCAAATGAAAAATGGTGGTTTAGGTTCAATATTATTTTAGATAATACAATAATTTATTTCTCCTGGCTGAGGCCTTTCTTTGATACTTACAGGGAAATTGCTTAGGATTAATGTGAGCATTTCTTTTTTCTAGGGAGTTGTAAATATAAACAAGAAAGATGTTTGGGTTTATGAAGAAAGACAAGGACAAGGAGGATGAGAAGAAGAAGAAAAAAGACAAAAAGGACCGCAAGGAGGCCAAGCGATCCAAAGACAGAGCCACGCTGACTTTAGATGAGCTCAAGAGACTAGATGAAGCCCGACGCAGTCTCATTGGGAAGAGCAGGAAGAAGAAGGAGGACAAACTGCCGAGTGGCATCACAGCAGACTACATGGAGCAGTTCAGGTCTGGCCTGGGCAGTGATCAGTCTGAGGTGGATTTGAGCTCAGCTGGAACCTTTCAGGAGCTGAGAGAGCGCTATGAAGCCATGGCATCAGCCTCAAGCCTCCATAGTGACTCGAGCAGCGATGGGATCTCGCTGAGATCTGGCTCTGGTCTTCCTCCAAGGCCTCCCAAGAGAGGGATTCTAAAAGGCCGTGCCGATGGGGAAGGTACGGAGTACCAGGGCGTCAAAGGGGACATTGATGACGAGTCTAGCCTGCTTCAAAACACTATGCAAAATGAATTAATAATGTATGAAAATCTCCTGCAGGAAAAAGGGATAGTGGAAGCCCAGAGACTGTCAATCACGTCCTTAACGAGTCCCCGTAGAGTGTCTAATGGGTCAGCCCCTGTGAGCCCAAGAAGCCCCCCGCAGAAGGTCATGAGCCCCATACAACCCCCACACCCCAAGTTCATAGTGGAGCATGCGCCCCCTGAGGTGCCCGACCCCACTAGTCCCCCTCCTACACCCACCAGTCCTATTCCTGTAGGAGAGAGTGTTGGCCATCATCACACCAAGACCTTTGCCGTAGACCTAAGACTACCAGAACTAGTGCCTCCGCAGCCTCCAGCACCACGCACCCTCACCATCCCTCGCTCGCCAGCAGGAGACTTTGGCTTCTCACTGAGGAGGGCCCAGGTTGTGGAGCGAGGTCCTGACAACTCTGAGACCAGGCGCACTATTGTCTTTGCTGAGCCAGGTGCTATTGGAAGGGCTAATGTGACTGGGCTCCTACCTGGTGACCGGCTACTGCAGGTCAATGGCATTAGTGTAGAAAATAAGATACGCGATGAGATAATTGAACTAATCAAGGCATCACCCGACTGTGTCACACTTGTGGTGAGTACCTGAAGCTTTTTTGATGATTTCTCAAAATCATCTTCCTTCTGTATATTTAGACTACATTTTTTAAATTCACATACTTACTGGCTCTTCCTTACTGTTTATGGTTTTCATTATATGTTGTTGAAAATTTTGCATTCTTATTCTTTTGCCAGCAAGGTTATTTTCAATGATTAACAAAGAGAGTAAGAAAGTTGAGTTTGTATTTAAAGTTTATGTATACATTGTCTGTATATCTGTACTTGTGCTATTTCTTGTATGTGTGGCTGTGTATATATAAATATTGTTAGAACATATATTTAGGAGTGTGCTTGCTGTTACCTGTGTTGGTATGTCTGTGGGTCTTTATCTTTGAATGTACTTACAAGATACCTGTCATTTAGAAAATTATAGTTTTTATTTATTACTAAATAATTTTTGGGTCGGTTTTTGTTTTATATCATAATCATTGCTTTATCTAGTTATTCTGTTCTCATTGCAAGTAATTATTTTTCATCACATTTCACATGTTTATATGATTCTTAAAATAAAAACATTAATAACATTTGAAAAGTGTCAAATAGCCCCTTGGGTTAATGTTATTTGATTAGTGTACATATGTAATTCCTGTTGATTAGAGTATTCTTTAATATTGTGGACTTGAGGTACTTTAGGGTAAATCTGTTTATTCCTATCTGTTTTGCCTGTCTGCAACTATGTGTCTGTCTGTATGCATGTGTATATGTTTTGTCCTATTCATTCTAATATTGAAAGAAATTAATAGAACAATAAACATAATTTGCCACTAAAAGGTTATAGGCCTATATGAAAACATTTTAACACAATAGTTGGACGGACATCCGTAGTGATGGTGAGGGTCCGTGGCTGCGTAAGCGAATGAATGAATAAATGACTGAGGGAGTGGGTTAGTGATTAAATAAGTGAATGAGTAAATGAATAAATAGATAATGAACGAATGAATGAATGAATGGGAGTGAGTAAGTGAATGGATGAATGAATGAATGAATAACTGAATGAGTGAGGGAGTGAGCGAGCGAGTAGCTAGCGAGCAAGGGACTGATCTTGCATCTAGATGAGTTGCCGTTTGATCACTGTGAGGTTTCCCGCTATTGGGTTAAGGGATACGAGTCTTAACACAATCCTGTTATCCATGCTGTAACAAGTTATATGCTTATTTGTTTCCTTATTTACTTGTTTTTTATTTATTTATTTACTGGCTTCGTTATATGCCATTGCTTCATTCATTTATGTATTTAACTAGTTCATAAATCGGTTTGTTTATTTGTTCAAT